TTCTCATCTCCCCACGCTCTCAGTGATTTTCCCTTTTGTACTTTATTCCCTCTCCATCGTCTCTCTCCCTCCACTCCATGGTAAATCACTGCCAGGATCACAGTTGCATCTCCAAGTTTATTTATGTGGTGGATAGGCATGAAACAGCCCAGCAGCTCTGATGATGGTACGTGCTGTACATCTGCTCACAGCTCCTGCCAGCAAACTGGGAACTGCCCATCCAGAGAGAGCCCACACTTGGTGCCTGTTCACCTGGGCTCTGAGTCACCCCAGGGTTACTGTACCTTCAGACATCAGGGATCCCAAGCTCTGAGTTGTAGGAAGAAGGCTTTCCCAATAAGCCAAGGGCGAAGAAAACTCAGTTCTCTGGCTGTTCCTCCCTGACAGCACAGAGCGGATTTGCTCAGTGTTCTTAGCTATGCTTGGCAAGGAGAAATTTGGCACTTAAACCTGGGCCCTGCCCAGCAGAGCCGGGTGGGTGAGTGGCCGAGAGTCTCAGTCTGGTTTCTGCAGAGTGTGGTTAAAAGCCCTCTTGCCAGATTAGAGCCTGAATACCACAGAAGGGCATAGAGATGGAGGACAGCGTTGTCTGTCACTCCTTGTGCCCTTGTCCGGTGGCCTGCAGAGGTTTGGGCCTGGGGCACTGTGGGGCTGTCTCGTTTCAGAAACACTGCGACCGGCAGAAGGCAAACCTGAGGATCCGCTTCAAGCCCTCGCTCTTCCAGCACGTGGGAACTCACTCCTCCTTGGCTGGGAAGATACAGAAGCTGAAGGTGGGTACCAGCTCTGTCCAAGCTACAGGTGGCCTGGCCTGCAGGCACCTGGGAACTGACTGCCTTTGGGTGGGGACATCAGTGACATTGGCTGGTGGCAGCCGGATTTCTGTGAAGTGTTTGTGTTTTATTCTGAATTACAGTGAGCTCAGGTAGCTCCTGCTCCTCAGAATGGCAGTGACATGCACCAAGAGTCACTGCAAGATTTTGAGCCTTGGTACCAGTCCTGAGTGACAGACCATGGTCCAGGCAAGTGACTTCGAAGAATCTACTGAAAAACATTGGAGGGATGACTCCTGTGTTGGTCTGACTTCCTTCCCACTCCACTCCATGTTCCTGGGATTTGGTGATAGGCAAATTATAACTCACTGTATAAGAGCTGGAATTGTTGATGTGTGTTTAAACATGAACAAAATGCAGCTTCCCACAACTACTAAGTGCAGAACCCATGGACAGACATCCGTGGGCTGTGCTGTCAGTGTGATCCCCGGGGAAATGGATGGTATAATCCAGTTTGTATCACAGTGCAGTGCTGTCAGGCCATATAATCCAGTCATTTTATGCTATTGTCAGCCTCCCAGCTGCTTTCTCCTCAAGTGTAAAGACTATTTCCACAATTCCTGGGGCAGGGACAGGCATTCAGAGACATTTGGACAATGAAATGCTCCTTGGTGCTAGATCGGAGCATGGTTGTTTCTCTGACCTGCCTCTCCTGAAGCAATGTCCTGACATCTAATCACACATTCCCCTGCCTGGTGCCTTGCCCAAATTACTTCCATCTCTCATCCTTCTGTGCCCTGCAAATCACAAAACTTTAATTTGCAGTGCCTTGTAGCTGAAGCCCTGGTTCCTCACGGGCCAGAGCAGCTCATGGCCCTTCTCTGCCCTTTTGCTTTGTGCCCACCAAGGACAAGGACTTTGGAAAACAGGCACTGCGGAAAGAGCACGTCAACCCTCCTGCCGAGGTGAGCACCAGCCTGAAAACCTACCAGCACTTCACCTTGGAGAAGGCTTACCTGAGGGAGGACTTCTTCTGGGCCTTCACTCCCACTGCCGGGGACTTCATCCAATTCCGATTCTTCAAACCGCTCCGAATCGAAAGGCCAGTGCTGGAGGGGTCAGCGGGGGTGTGGGGACAGCCCAGAGCATGTGGACACACTTGACTTTTGCTCTTCTGGTAATTTAAATCGAATTTCTTGCCTGTCCAGCAGTGCTCTTCCAGGGGAAGGATAATTTGACCCTTTCTCAGTGGGGCCATCTTTGCCAGAGCCCTTTGTTTCGACTGTGAGCAGTCCATGGTTTAGCTGGTCTGGCACAGAAAGTCTCCTGCCAAATCGTGCTGTGGGCTCTTTGGGAAGGTGCCTGTTAGGTTGAACTGTTTGATGATTCAGATGGGGTGAAAGCCATCACGTGCCCCCTCGCTCAGTGTGCCTTTCTGTGGTTTTGGTTCTTGTCACAGGTTCTTCTTCCGCAGCGGGAACATCGAGCACCCAGAGGACAAACTCTTCAACACGACCGTGGAGGTTCTGCCGTTTGACGTAAGTGTTTGATTGAGATTTGAGGTGAGGGTGGAGTGGGAAGCAAAAGAGGCTTGAGAGGAGGAATCTGCTTAAAGCCATCAGGAAAATCTTCACAAGATTCGAGTGCCTCTTACAGGTGCTGGCAGGGAGCCAGAGGGTCATGCCTGGTGTGATGCCACCTCAGGAGCAGGGTGCTTTGCTGAGCACGGCTGTATGAGCTGTCCCTGCCTGGAGATGCACCAGTGGGAGGGATGGCTGCAGAGGAGGGGATGGAGCCAGAATGGTGCAGTGGAAATAGCAGTGTCCTGCAGCTGTCCTCTTGTTTTGGGCACATGTCTCAGGATGCCACGTATGGGACGAGATGCCAGGGTTTGCTGGCAGGGACAGCTCTGGGATTGCTGCTTTTCCTTGGGGCTTTTGGGTGACTCTTGCCTCTGGCCTTGCACAAAACTCCTCTCCTTCTGCAGAGTCTACAGTCAGATAAGGAAACCTTGCAGGAGGGAAGAGGCGCAGTCGTCAAATACCGCAGGACAGCAGACGGCTACATCCAGATAGGTACAGCGGGGTGTGCGCTGGTAAAATGCTGCTGGCTTTGGTAACACAGCCCATGCCTTCACCTGCATGTCAGTCAAGAACCTTAGAGCTGTTTGCTTGGCAAAGAGTAATTTCTGCTGTCCAGGAGCTTATGGTTGGAGCAGGATTTAACTGTCATTGTGTCCTCTCCTCCACTGCCCTCGCTCTCAGGCTAGGTTGTCCTCAGTTTTCAGTCCTGCATTTCTGCCAGTCTCTGCTCCGAGGTGAGACCAAACGATGCAAATTATTCCTTTGCTTACCCTGAGGTTAAAAACCTCCACCACGGGCAGTTTTGCCATCTCTGTACTCACACCACTTGCAGGTCAGACTTCGTCTCTTGCCACCTGAGCTTGTTTTAGTGCTTGCCCTGCCCTTGGACAAGAAGGAGTAATTGCAGCCTCCAGAGACCTGCCAATGTGTGATACAGCCCTGGTGTCCCTGCAAAGATGTAATTTTTTTTAAAGTAGACAAATAAAAGAAAATTTTCCTGGCATATGTAGTGTTTTGCCATTTTCTCATTCCTCTGCATGTTGGCTGGTTTCTCCCAGTTGCATTTTCAAAATAAAAAAAAAAATCACAACCAAAAAGCATGTCAGGCCACTCTGTCCCCTTTCACACAGCAGTGATATGTCACCAAATACCCCAAATACATTTTGTTTTGTTTACCTGATTTTTTTTCTCCAAAGTGTGGCATTTTGTACTGTATCGCCATCCACGCTGCTGGTTTTTAGCCTGTTTTGTGTTGGGGAGCTGCAGGCAGGGGCTGCTGGGGCTGTTGGTGGTGCCCTGGGGGACAGGGGAAGTGGAGGGGCAATGCCAGAGGACCATCCCTGTGTCAGTCATGTGCTCTCCCCACCAGGCTCGTTCTCCAAGGGTGTTGCAGAGGGTGAGGTGGACCCATCTTTTGGGCCGCTGGAGGCTGTCAGGCTGTCCATCCAGACCGACTCCCCAGTGTGGATCATCCTGAGCGAGGTAAGCCGAGCTCCCTCAGCACCTCCCCACCCCTGCCCTGCTCATCCCTCTGATCCCATCCCTCTCTTCTTTCAGATTTTTATCAAAAAAGCAGAGTGAAACAGGCATGAGCAGAGCGGACACACCTGTGGATCCCTGGTCCTGCTGCCTCCCTCCCGCTCCCTGCTCCCTGCGGCGCCTTGCCCGGACCAGGACAGCGCAGGGCCGGCTGCCAGAGCCAGCACTCGCCATCCCCAGCAGGGCTGCGGGGCCAGGACGGGCATCGGCTTCTCCTGAAGAGCAGCAAAAAGCAGAAGCCAGCCCCTGTGCAGAGGGGTGGCTTTGCTCCGCTCCCCCGGCCCCTCGGGACACACGGACACGGACACGGGACAGTTTGGGGTCGGGATGAGCTTTAGCCAGCGTGGGGACAAAAAGCACCTTCAGCCCCAGACAGGGCAATCTTTGGCTGTATCTGGGGACAGAGCAGGTCACACCGAGTCCTGCCAGACCCCACCGGTGCGCTGGGATGGAGGCAGCAGGGACCGAGGTCTGCCTTGCCCTCTCCCAGGCAACAGTCCTGGCCACAGCTGAGGATTAAGTGAGGGCAAAGACTGACCCTCCTTCAGCAGAGGAGGAACGAATCCAAAGGGTTGGAGCTATGATTATGGCAGGGAAAACAAAAAAATAAAATATGCCACACTGTGCCTGCCAGCATTGAACACAGCCCCTTAATTCTCAGTGAAGTCTCCAGTGTCTTCATGCCTTGAGATTGAGTGCAGAAACTGTCTTTTTTAAAATAACTATTTCAGTTATTGATTGATGTGGGTTTTTCGGGGAAGGAAAAAATAAAGCAGAGGTAGCCCAGTTCAAAAATAGTAGGGATTAGTGTAAATCCCAATGTCCTTTCAACTATACACTGGAATGCATTATACTACTTTAATGTGCTGTATTTTTTATTATTGGATACATTTGATTTTTCAAGTACATCTCTCTATATAAATATATAAAACAATGTGCACTGTAATAAAAGCTGAATTTAAACCTTTGGTGCAGTAGTGAGGGTCAGTTGGAACAGGGCTGCTTTAGGTACCTGTGAACCCCAAGTACACAGCAGAGGGTGGAATTTGGAGAGGGCAAAGTCCTATTGCAGGGTGGATGGTAAGTGAAGCTGGGGCAAAGTAAAGGTCATTCAATCAAGGCCAAACACAGACTTTAGTACTTGGACTAGGATCATGCTTTTCTTCCAATATTTGGACGTGGTTTTAGGCAAGTTTACCCATCCTTTTCAGTTAATCACAGCAGCTTTTCCTATGAAACCCAGTCCCCAACTCAGATTTTCTCACACCAGTCTCTGAGCACTTTCGACAATCACAGGTGATTCCTAGTGAGAAAAGGAATTTATTTTTGTATATCCATGGTGTGATTCTTCAACATAGATCATTACAGCAGTAAGGAGGAGAGACAACAGCATGTGGGTCAATCTGTGCTCCATGAGGCAGAGCCAGAGGCATTTTGGAGCAGACAGTGCTACAAAGCCCAGCAGTGAAGCTCCTCAGCAGAGGCAGGGGCTGGAAAGCATTTGCTTTCTAGAAAGGAAATTATCTCTGAGAGCAGAGGAGTGCCAGCATCCACCTCCCTTCAGCGGGGAGTGCAGAGCCAGGGAAATATTCTCTCTCTGATGGTGCCACATGACTGGCTCCCTGTGACAGGGCAAGCAGTGGGTTTGGGGAGAGCCATGGCCCCTCTCACCAGGCGCCATGGAGCTGGAGAGGCCACACCAGTGCTGCCATCCATGTGGAGGAGCTGGGCCACAGGAAGTGTGCCAGGAGCCCGGCCAGTGCCATCCCCACCAGCAGCCAGAGCAGCCAGGCACTGGCATACAGTGGTCCCAACCTGGGTGGGAAAAAACACCATCAGGCACTGCCAGCCCAGCCAGGGCACGCTGTGAGTCCCCACCCACCTTTGGGACAGCCAGGGAAGAGGTGACACAGCCATGAGCACATGGGGGCAGGAGGGGAGGAGGAGGAGGTGGTGAAAGTCTGTCTGCAGTCCCACCCATGGGGAGGAAGCCTGTTTCAGGGGCCAGGTTCTGCTCCCAGCCGCCCTGGGCTGGTTTTGGGGTGCCCATGGTCCCATCAGGTCCTTACCGTCCCTGGGCAGCCACGGTGTAGCCCTGGAAGTACTTGAGGCGGCTGTAGAGGTACAACAGCCCACACACTGCGGTCACACCTGGGGGGACAGGGAGTAGAGCTCTGCTGGGATCCCTGGACACTGCTGCAGCTGCATCCCAGCACAGTCCCCCCAGCAGATGAGGCATGGCCAGAAAACCAAACACAGAGTGATTTGGCTTTAAACCACTGTGGTAGTTTAAATGAGTTTTCTCCTTTCCCTTTTTGTGAGGGATGAACTTCTCTGCCCCACAGAGTTGCCCTGGGACTTGGGTTGGCAATGCTCCCTTTTGTGGTTTCTCCTCACAACCAAATCCCTGAACTCACTTGGTAGGGATGGACAGTGGATGAGTAAATGTTTGGGTTATGGTTTCTTGTTCTGACAGTTCTGTCTCTGCTGCTGCCACCCTGGGACAGCCTGACCTTGTCTAGGAAAAGCAGCATGAGGGGACAGCCAGGCTCCAGCAAAGGAGCAAGGGCTGCCAGTGCTTCCTCCTCCAGGCAGGAATGGGCTCAGCTGCTCCCAGCTGGAGTTGGGGCACTTCTCAGTCAATCCAGCTAAGGGGAAAATTTGCTTTCCATGAACAAGAGCCTCACAGGCACAGAGAAAATGCCTTCGTCACAATGGGATTTAAATTGGGGCTGGGTTTTTTTTGTTTGTTCACATGGTTTGGGTTGGAGTTCTTCCCCACATCCCTCTTACCTTGATGGAAGAAGATTCCAGCAACCCAGAGGAGGGAAATGAAGATTGGGAAATATTCTGAGCAGTTTGCCCTGGTGAGAACCAGAGATGAGAATTAAAACTGCCCCCTGTACATCAGAGCCTGGATAACCAAGGCTGGAGAAGGGAATTGGAAACTCACATCAGAGCAAACTAAAAGACCTGGTGAGAACCATTGTTGTTCTGTGGGAAAGGGGCCTTGGGCCTTTTCTGTGATCAAGAACACCCAATATCTGTATTGTAGGGGAAAAAACCAGCCAAACAACACACAGCATTCACTTTTCCTGCATTCACATGGTCTGGAATGACAAGCTATGGCTGAGACAGAGATTTGTCTCTGCTGGACCCTACACAGGCTCCATCCCACACACAGCACCATCACAGACAGCTGCTGCACCACCAGCTGCAGGAGGAGAGCCTTCTTGTCAGTATTTAAGGAGCTTTCTCTTCCCCTTGGGTAAGCACAGCCCAAATTTGGGAGTCACACAAGTCACAATCCAAGAAGGAGCCTTCTCTCAGATAAAAGTCAGCAGGAAGCAATCAGCTCTACAGCCAGGTTTTCCTCCTTTTTCCTTTAGTGACAAAAATAAAGATTTTCTGCAAGAAGAGTAGGAGCTATGCTATTAAAGACATTGCTTTTGCTTCTCTCACATTTTACCATTCCCTAGGCAATTTCATCTTAATGTTGGCCAAAAATGTACAAACTTTTGGAAAATGGAGCCAGACTGGGAGCTGGAAAAAGCCTGAAGAACCTTATTCTGTAAATGCAGTTTGAGCCTCAGTGTGGGGAGACTGCCAGGTTTCTTCAAGTGAGTAATACATCAGTACCACTTTTTCCCTTTTTTTTTTTTCAATATATCAAATTATCCATTTGTATACTCTTCCACAGGGGAAAGAGAAGAAGAACCCACAAAGAAGCAATATATTCTCAAGTCCAAGTTCCTCGAGGTCGCCTTCCCTGCCCATTACAGCCAGGGCTTCCCAGAACACCACAACCCATGGCATGACTTGGTTAACACACATTTAATAGTTAAGTATTTAATTAAAAGCCACATCAGCAGCTCCCCAGCTTGCAGAGGCTGATGTCTCCAGGCAGGCTGGCTTCCATGGCACCACAGAAGGACTGAAGCTGGTGTTTTTGTCACTCCACAAATGTTTCCTGTGCTCTGGCAAGGGAACGCAGCTGCTTTGTTCGGGATTTAGTGCCGGGCTGGAACCACCCTTCACACCAGCTCCAGCCAATTCCTTTCAGTCGCTTACAAAACAGAGCAGCTGAGATGAAAGACGGGATCTGGTGCTTGCTGGAAGCCGAAGGGATCTGTGAACATTTCCAGTTTAGCTCCAGCATTGCTCTCTCCATAGGAACAGAGCAAAAAGAAACAGCCCTCAGCAGGGGCCCACGAGTGCTGAGTCTCACAGCACAATGGCTTCTGAAAGGGAAAAAAATTAAATGCCCTTGTAGCTGGTTCTGCCAGCAAGGCCGTTTGCTTCAATTCAACAGCAAAATATTACTCAAAAATATCAGATTATTAATAAAACTTTGGCTGCTCTCACCATTTGGAGCCAACGGTAACATTAAATTTAATGATTCTAGTCGTGAATGCTCTGCACCTCCTCCATATGGCCACTAATTTGTAATTTGGCTGCCTCACAATACCAGAAGGAGAATTATCATGGATGGACAGAAACACCCCAGCCAAAGTGCTCCAAATCAAAATGCAGACCTTTGCACACAAAGCATTGAAAAAAAAAATATCAGTAAGTGGAAAGGTGACGTGAGGGGTACCAGTCTCTCTCAACAGTGATAGTTGACTCAAGTTTTATCTAGACAAAGTCACCACAAAAAGTCAAAATCTTACTGAGCTCTGAAGGTCCGCTCAAATTCAGGGTGACCTGATGTTTCAGGAGGGGAAATCTTGTACTTCCGACGGGCGTAGATCACCTGCATTGCAAAATAGGCTAAAAAACAGAACACAGGAGTGGTAACAGACCAGCAGTGTTTACATAGCCATGCTTTATCTGGCTTGGAATCAAGCAAATAGAATGAAAGAGCTGACATGATCTAGGTCCATAGTCCAGGGCTGTCACACATGACCTGTAATAAATGTGCCATTTATTTCACATTCATGCTTTAAATTCAGGTTTGGTTATCCCAGCTGAGTGCCACTGCTGGATGACACTTTGCATCATCTCACGCCCAGCAGAGCCCTCAGTGCTGCTCCCCCGTAGATAAAACACACAATAAAACCTTACCCTGAGTCAGAATTATTTCTTAATTTTGCACTTCGCATTTAGAGTACATGTGCACCCTCAGCCAGTCTCATGGGAATTATGTGCAACACTTTCTGCTATTCCTAGTGGATGCAAAGGATGGCCCATGTCACAGAGCAGCATGCAAACTGTCAAGCACTGGGATAGTCATTAAGTCAATTAGAGATGCTCTTAATAATGGCAATAAAAAGAATTGGGGAAGAGGGTGATTATTTCTTGCTCTTCAACCCTGCAGGGCAGCCCCAAGGCTCCAGCAATTCAAGGAGCAGAGGTGCTGCCCATGCCTGTGCCACATTTGAGCTAAGGCACTGACTCAGTGTCTGCTACATCAGTCCTTTGTACATTTGTAAAGGACATGGAAAGTCACTTCAAAACAATGAAAACTTGCTAACATGAAGATTTTGAGTGTTTCACTATTTATTGAAAACTCCTACTCCCACGGGCAATTGCTGATGCTCTGTTTTATTTAGGTGTACTACTACACTGCTGCCTTTATTGAAAACCCCTATTTTCATATAGGAGAAAACTAGATTATAAAAACAATTATTTTGGTGGTTGTGATGGTGTCACTGAGATATCTGATGCTCACTTGAGTGAGCAAAGTCCTCACATAGCAACATTTCCAGAGCATTGCAGAGAGACACAAGAAGCTGCTGTGCAAGCCTGTCTTGGGGACTGTGTTAGTGTAACAAAGATAAAAGCAGAACAGCAGGATAGAAAAGAGGAAGTAGGGACAGATGTTCCAAGATTAAAGACATGTGCCTGCAGAAAACATATGTAGAAGGGAATTAGAAATGTAAATAATCTGATGCTATGTGACTTGTGTATCACAAGGTTTTAGTAACATAAATACAGTCATTCCTTTCAGAATGCATTTAAGAACAATTAAGCTTGTTCTAGTGTCTTCCACAGTGACCCAGCCCTAAACAAGAGGTGCTGACAGAGCAAAGTGGGGGGAAACAAGAATGTTCCCTCCTCTTTGATTCATTTATAGCAGGTTGATCATGGGTGAAGATGTCACCCTTCTCCAGAGGTCCAGCAGGACAGGACACAGCATTCCCTCTGTGAATCCAGAGAGGTGTAACACACAACTGGAATTCAGCAGCTGCTGGCAGAGCTCTGGGAATAAGACAAAACCACCCTGTTACCTCTCCAGCTCCCTGATGCTCTCAGGGTCTCATCCCAGACTCCTCTCCAGAAATGGACTGAGCTGAAGTTACAGCATCATGAACAGATCTGGCTTCTGGCTTAAGGGCCCAACTGCACTGGGCAATGCTCTTCATTCTGCTTTGTGCCATCTGCACCTTTCCTAAGGTAGGATTCTTGTGACTGATGGGTGAGGTAAGAGTCATTTCACATCAAACCTCTCCATCAGCTCTACACTTGGCATCTTGCTTCTACACAGGGGCTAATATTCAGGCAAGTCCTACACAGATCCCTGACACTTGGGGATGGGTAACATAAAAAACAACCACCCAAGAGGAGCAGGAGCCTTTTGGAGGACAGCTGGCTGTTCCCCCAAACCTGGTGTAAGGGTGAAGAACTAGGATGAAGAATCAGTCCACAAAAGCACTTCTGAGAATGAGGTGTTGAAAAAACCCACACTGCAAGAGCCTTCTCAGCACGGACTCTTAGAGAAAAAGAGTTCAATCTACTCTGCAGAGCCTTTCAAAGCATTTTTTTGTGATTCATGTCTTGAGGTTAATCACCTGTGTGGATTCCCATGTGGCTTAGGGGCTCAGCTCTCCCTGAACTTTGCTCCTCGGAGGAAATATTCTTCATTCTCTATTTGATTATGTCCACAAACTTGTCAAATAATATCAGAGCTGCTATCTGCCACATTTGAGTGAACCTGGCAAACAAGCCCTGTGGAGCCTGACAGTGACATTGCATAAGTTTTCTTTCCTTTGAAGCTGTAAAATAAAGGAGTGGGGGAAAAAACTGGAGTAGAATAATTTTGCCTTGTGGTACAATGTTCACCACAAGGCTGGGGCACACATCTACATAGTGCCAAACTCAGAGTTTCACTAAACTGAGAATGACTAAATTAAAAAGGGGAAAGTTTCTTGAAAGAATGTGGAAACTGCAGGCTCCCAGGAAATTCAAAAGGAAACAAAAAGCTACCAACGCTGTACCAAGGTCAGACATTAAATTAAATCTCCTACACCAGGATGTGATGGAGGACTATCTGTAGGGATAGCCCACATCTGTGCTTCAGAGCGAATCCCAGACATGTAACTCACCTACAGAATGTCCTTTCAAAGCCACTGCACAGCTCTGAACCCCAGTGACACAGGCACACGGATTTCACAGGAGTAGGTGGAAAGGAAATGCAGTATTTTGCAGTTGCTCCTTGGCTTCCCATGCAGAGATCATAAAACCAGGATACTTCATCCAGTCAAACAGATAGGAGGGTGCCAATGCCTGCTATTTATCTGCTGGCATCACACCTGGCTTGTTTGCCATGAAAGTAAAATGCTTAATACTGCAACCTTTAAAAAGTACTTGAAATTCTTATTAAACAAAAATATTTGAGATAAAACTGCTATCTAGGGATTTGCTACTGAGGGTTTCCTAAAGGAAAAGGGCTCAGCAGCATTTCTGTAACTCAATTTCATGTTTTCTTCATGTCTTTGCAGACTGAACACTCGCTCCACCCCCACTTAGTTTAATAACAAAAAAATTCGTTGTACAAGTTTCTTCCATTTGTAGTTGTGGCATGTCTGTGTAAATTGAGTGGAAATTACTGAAAATTCAGAAATCTTGAGCTCTATTTTTAAAGTGGCATATTCTGTTTCAAATAATGTTTATATTAAGAGATTTATCACCTGATGGCTAAAAGCATATGACATTGCTCAGAGATTCACATCCATTTGTAAGCAGAGGTGTGACAGCTGTATGGTGAATTAATACAGTAACAATAAAACCCACAAACCTTTCCTTATAGAATTGTGAAGATTTTAATAAAATGGGGGCTCTGTTACCATCCTAGGCAGGGGAGTGACTGTCCTGAAGCTCAAGGGGGAGAGACTTTGCCGAAAGGACCCACAAATAAACAGAGCTTGGCAACAACTGTTCCTCCTAAATGGTCTGAACACAACGCATCTATTTAAATTAGAAGTCACTGAGTTCCTTTGAAGAGCTCTGTGTCTATTTCTGAGCAGAACTTACATTCGTTTCCAAATTACTGTGCTCAGTCCATCTTGTCATCTGCTCTGTGCCATATGAACATAGAAGGATCTCGGTCACAGAGAAACACCAGCGTGCACCAGGCTCTTTCTTATATCCACACCACGTCTGCCTGTACATTGATCTCCTCACCAGCACATTTACTAACCTGTCTTTATTCTGGCTACCTCCAGCCACTGCAAGTTACAAATTACCTGCTCAAATTCAATCACAAACTAGTTTACTTTAAGAACATCACGTTGAAATTGCTTTAAGTCTAAAAGTTTTACTTGCTGGCTTTAAGGACCATTTTAGTCCCTGTTAAATAACGACCACCCTCAGGCATGCCACTTCTGCCATGAACAGCCAAAAATTTCTATCATTTTATCAAGTTGAAAAACAGTGACTTTCACTCCACAGACACTCCGAGAAAACTACAAGAACCACATCCCACAGCGTTTAACATCATTAGCTTAATACTGGCATTGTACAAAGGACATTTACCTTGCTCCAGGACCCCCAGAACTGTGACTGTGGCCAGCAGGTCTATCTGATCTCTCATGCTGCTGACTGTGGAGCAAACCCCAGCCTGATGTGCTGGGCACAGCTGTCCCAACACTCTCTCCCACCACCACCCACTTCCACAGAGCTGCCTCTGAGCACAGGTGTTTCCTCCACCACACCTTAACTCTCACCACACCACGTGTTTTCCAAAGCCACCAGAAAATGCCTATTCCAGCCAAGTGCCTATTGTTGAAAAATAGAGCAGGAAAGAATTTTGCATGAGCAAACTGAAATTCTTCTAATTACATTTACCGATTTTATACCATGATTGAACTATATGTTGCTGGCAATGGAAAGATGATGGAATTCTTTCCAGCCAGTTTTGTTGCTAGTTTTAATGAGCCCTGAAGCATCTCAATTATGTGCAAGGTTGTAAAAATTATTAACAAGCATTTACAAATTAATGACTTGATCTTCTGCTCATATTTCAAGTAGTGGAGTTGACCACTTGAAAGATTCAACACACTCCAGCTGGACTAATTTAATTCTGTTACCAGATTCTGTGATTTAACAGAACATTCAGATACTTTATCCTACTAATTACTACACTTAAGTTTACCAAAGAGGAGTACAGTTCTATTCTAGCACTCACTGACCCTTAGTAGTTTTCTGAAGTTTTTAAGAAGTATAAACCTTTCCCTGGCTAACACACAAAATACAAGATCTCAGTTCTGAAGGCAGCAGAGGATGTAGAAACATACAGACCCTAAGGAAACGTTACACTGACATCAGAGTTATAATTGTAAAATGCAAAATTGGAAAACAAGCAATGTTTTAGCCCTGAGTGACTTTTCTCCCCACTCTGCAAAAGTGAAACAGGCATCAGTTCAAAAAGTTACCTTACGTTTTTGAGCAACTTTATAAGGACGACTACACTGACTTGAAAATTTTTAAAATCAAAGAGGAGGAAGGTTTTCTCTTAATGTTAGAGGCTGAATCATTGCATTTCTCTCTGTTCAGTCACACTCTCACTACAGAATTTGTGCATGTACCAGACATGCAGTTTCTCCCAAGAGGGACGTAGCAAGTTTTGTCTGGTTTGGCTCTTCATTGCTTCAAAACACCATTATGACAGCTCAACAAGTTGAAAATTCAGTTAATCAAATATCCAATGTTACACTTTTTATAAATAACCACACATGTAGAATAGCAAAACCACTCCCTTTCTCTAAAAAAACACTCATATGATGTGACTCTTCAAGGTACAGCAGACTCAGGTGAAATAGAACTAAAACGTAAAAGTTAGCCTTAACTGAACCTACTGGTGACCAAAGACGTCATCTGTGATGTCCACTGGGGTCTTCTTACAACAACATATTTCAACAAACAATTTAGACTCAAGAAAACACTTACATTACAGACTTCCATTACTCTCAGGAAAAACAATGGCATCAAGAAAAAAAAAAATCAAATTAGTTTCTGAGCAAAGGTTCATGACAAGCTGCTGCTGACTCCTTAAAATCTTTGGAAAACCACAGACATCATTTCAGTGGGGGATGGTTTAGGCAATTTCTGTCTCACTTAACAGTAACTAAAATGCAGCATTTTTAATGGGACAATAAAGGAAAAATTAATGTAACTTCATGGTTTCCCATGGGGTAAAAGGAGCTGATTCTGCTACTGCTACTGTTTGTTACATTTGGTTCTTTACAAACTTTTGAAGTTACAGGTCTCCTCCTCTCCCCCCAAACAAAACACAAAACTTGTAGAGTAGGAATACATTAAAAATACACTCTGGCAAGTCAGGATGCTGTGAGGAAACCTGGAGGCTGAGCTGGGGCTGCAAACACAACTGTACAATGACACCAACTGCAAACCCTGGAGAATGACCCATCAATGTCTGAAGCTGGGCAGTGGCTGTGGGACCTTACCAGCCTTAAGCCAAGACCTCCACACACGTTGCTGTCAGTATTTGTTCCTTGTTCAGAAACATCAGCTCCTGCTTGCAGCATGTGTCCCACATCTCAGCTGGGTTCCTGTATCACACAGGTCTTGAGGAAATCAGTTTGAACCTCTAAGGGCTGTTATTCTAAGGGAACTGGCACATTTTGGAACTCCAATTTTACACATGTGAGTTCTCGGTAGTTATTAACAATTTTTTCACTACTAACAACCACCTCTGCAGTTGAATTTCCCAGCTTAAGGCCTACAATGCATTCCAGAAAAAAAAAAAACAAAAAAACAAAAGCAGTGGGAGTAGCATAAAGACTGATTTTCAAAGTTACATTTTCTAAGGGCCCTTTATCCACTTCTGGCCTGTTTAAATGGACTTTCTGAAACTGTAAGAATTGTTAAGATCCAGCAGCAGAATTTGAGCCTTAGTAATAGGGATTTAGGAACCATCTCATTAGGAATGACAACGCTGAACTCTGCTCAGCTCATGCAAATGTATAAAGTCACACCATGTATATTTAATACACTAGCAAAATATTTATTTTATAATGATAAAACAGAAGTGAAGGATTTCTTTTTGGTGTGCACCAGTAATTGTAGTAAAAGAATAAGGGGATTAATGGACTCTTTATACATTTCAATGACAAAAATTCATAAAGGTTAGCATCAAATTCAACTGTTTTCCATTTACAAGCATAAAACTTACCATAATACCCCCCAAACACATATATAAAGAATTATAGTTTTAAAATCTATAAAAAGTAAAAAATATACAGTCAGAAGATCTAACTCTTATTCAAATCTTTAATATAAAATTGTAAACATTTATTTACACAAAGGAAATGTGTATAACAAAATTTTGAGCACCCTTTTCAATTGGATGGTGGTTTTTGGAAGGCAGTGGATGTTGCACAGTGACACTCTCACCTTGCCTGCCCAACCAAAACCGCAGTTTATAAATAAAGCCATGGGCGGCCGGCTGGGTTCAGTTCAGGGGAGATTGGTTTTATTGCTCTGAAGCTGCAGCAAATGGAAAGCCCGAGTGCAGACACAGACAGTGACACGTTTCAGGGCACCAGGGCAGAGCCCAGCCCTGCCCATGCACCCAAGTACATCAGAACCATATTTTCATTTCCATTGAACTGTTCCAACCTTGTTCCAGTGGCACCGCGCTCCCAAAGCTCCGAGCACAGGGACCAAAGCCAGAGCCAGGGGCTGTTTGGATCCTGCTCACACACGGAGACCAATGGGCATCATAAGCCAGTTTGTCTAGAATCAAACAATTTTACTGCAACAGTACCATGAAAAGGCCCTGTCGTCAAACCCAGATACCTTCCTGAACAAACCCTCTGGTCAAGCAGAGCAATATCCACCTTAGCTTCCAGAAACAGTGGAGGAAACAGCACACCTGCATTTTCCTGGACATTTCACTGGATTGCCTTTTTGGTAGTAATAATGCAAACAGCAGATGTTCTTTTCCTCCAATTAAGAAATCACAACTGGATGGATTGTATTTTGACTTATTCAGAACAAAGTCTGTGTGCAAAATCTACTGGAAAATAGAGCAGATTTCACCACAACCTAAACAGGGAGAAAGAAAAGCTGAATCCTACTACCCTGTTATTTCTGTCAAGTGTTTGTAAGGGGAAGAAAAAAACAGTGACATGGAAGAATGTCACTTGAAATTGAGGTCCCAAGCACCCCCGACAGGAAGGGAAGGCACACTGGTGCAAAGTTAACCCTTAAAATGAAAAATACAGCAAACACTCCTTCCCCTGCCATTGCTAGTTTATATCTATACTCTTCTAATGACGCTTTCCTTGGACCAGTTTCTGGTTTAACTTAATAGTAAACCAAGCTCACTAGCTCTTTCCTTAGATTGCCAGTATGAGAAAAGCTAGCATCAGTTATTTGCATCTCAACTACTTATTCTAGAAAATATCAGAAGTGTCAACAACCAAAGTCACCAACACCTTCGTCTTCCCATCCAAAGACAATCTTTATGCTACCTTTTCAAAAGCTCTACGAGGGATTAAGCTTGCTTCAGTGAAGTTTTATCCACTGTTCAAAGGTGGGATCCACTGATCAATGCACATCTTTCATCAACAGTTCAACATAATAAAATAGCAAATCTGATCAACAGAGCAGAATTCATCCACACTAGCTAAGTGTGCCGGACAAACCATGTTCCATGCATATTTGGAAAGGGTTAAAGTATTAGTGTTAAAAAAGCAGTTTTCAAAGTGCAAATTGTCTCATAAAGGAGCTGCAGATAGAGTAAAATACTTTCCTTCTTTGAAACCAATGATATCTTTCACTTCCCTTCACCCTCTCTGGAAAAAACCCTCTCTCACAATTCTGCAATGCAGAAAACTCCTGGAGAAGCCAGTCCGCGTTGAAGGAAATTGCTTTTAAATCACAATGCTGGGTTTCGTTAGAAAGTTTAGAGGAGTTTTCCAAGAAAGGGGATTTAGAAAGGGAAGAGGTATTTGTGCATTTAGAACAAAAGCTTTCAACTTTATTTTCATTTTAAAATAAACGTTAAGGCAAGGTGGTTTGTTGGTGGATAAGGGATTTTTTTGGTAGAGAGTAAGGACTTTGGAACATTGACTGTTCCCATTGTGGTTTTTGTCCTTTCTGGGACCAACACCAACATATGGATAAGAGGTCTCCTTGGGCTGAGCTGAAGAACAGCATCTGCTTCAAGGGATATTAAAAACATAAATCCACCAGTCTGTAGAAAGATTATCAAACTTGTAAGCCAGTATTAAAAAAACAAAGCATTTAAAGGGGCAGACTTCCACACTGGAGCAACCCTGATACAAGTACTCTCCCAGGCTGCCTGTGCTATTATTGCTAATAAGGACTTTCCACATCCCAGTCAAACTCTTTTTTCCTAATTTTTATCCTGAAGTGACAAAGTCTTGTGCTCATTGCTAACATTGGGGGATGAACTGATCTCAAAGGTTAGTTTTACTTTTTACAACAAAGAAAACTAGATGAGCTGTCATGAAGCAAAGCCTTCATTTAAATACAACTACCTTTGGAAATAAGTTATGAAGAAACAGGTGCAAAGTAAATGGCTTTACAATTCATGTTAAACCTACTATAGTTTAAAA